TGGAGAGTAGCCTGCTGAGCCCATCCTCCCCCCTTCCCTTCTCCTCCTCTCCCTTGGAGAGCCCGGGCAGCCACTGCCCCGCAGCCCCAGTGACAGGAGGAGACCGTACCCCCCGACAGCGCCATGGCCCAGATTCTGCCAATTCGTTTTCAGGAGCATCTCCAGGTGCGGTGGGCCCGGACTGGTGAGGGCTGTGGAGAGGGTGGTAGGAAGGAAGAAGCTGGAGTCTGGGTCTGAACAGAATTGGGGGGGGTCGGTGTTTGGGGCAGATGGGGAAGGGGACACTCTCTTAGAAAGCTTAAAGGGTTAAATGATGTGCGGCTTGGATGGAAAGGACGAGATCGGGGTGCAAAAGACGGCGAGGCCAGGCTGCGTCCGAGGGCCTCTCTTTCTTCCTGGATGGAAAGAACTGAGCGTACTGACTCCCCCACTCCCCGTTTTATTCAGTTCATTCATTTGGGTTGGGGGGCAGGAGCGGGGGATTCTTCCATATTTCTCTCCGAGCACCAATTCTCATCACGCCTTGAGCCAGTACAGGACTGTCACTTTCCATTCCTCTTCTCTTTCCTCCACCGTATCTGCACCCAGGAGTTGTGGGTCGGGTGGGTCGGGGAGGAGCAACCTTTTTTTCCCTCCCTCTGCGGCTCTCAACTGAGAAAGGCACCTTTCCCAGGGGTTGGGGGGAGGACGACGGTGGCCTGTCTCTTACCTTCCCCGAGGCTATAAGAACGGAAGGTCACTGAAGAAAAAGGATAGAATGGGGGACGCATTTCTCAGGGCGGTGTCAATATGAGTGTGCGGTCAGTGTCCCTAGAGGAACTCGCCTTTCCCCCCCCTTTATTTCTCTGAGGATGGTGTGGCTCTTAACCCCTCTGGTTCTAGAAAGTGGGACAGAGTTATCCAGAGGTTATCTTGGGGTCTTCTGGAGTATAGCAGATAGTTGTGGGATGGGCGCGAGTACCTCCCTCAGGATTGCATGGAATTGAACCGAGCCCTGGGGATAGAGCACACCTACTCTGAGACTTGCGGGGAGTTATTTGGTATGTTCTTCCCCACCGTTCCTTATCCCGGAGGCAACATACTGTCTTACCTGGCAACATGCCAGTGACTGGACTAGGCAGGTGACCATTGGAAAGCCTCACTGAATTGTCTCTTCCGAGCTTCTGATTTGCGTGGTTCACCAATCGTGGTTTTTACTTTCGCTGAAATAATTTATTTGTGTTAGTTTGCTTTCTTCCCTAATATTCCCTTAAAGAAGCCTACCTTAGCTCAGTCTTCTGAAGGGCTAATTTCATAGTAATAGAGGATGCAGTGGTTTGACATGAACACTAATATTAGTGACCTATTGGACACTTTACCATTGAAGGCATTTTTATTTACATTTCCCCATTGGTATTACATACATAGAGGATTCTTGTTAATAAAAAACATTTAATATTCAGACTATGAGTAACATAATTTTTATTTCTTTACAGGTATTATCATGTTTGCTTACACTAGCAAGAAATTTATTTCCTTTAAGGCTTGAAATGTCAAGAATAATAAATCTTTACCTGTAAAACAAGTTAAATAATGTACTTCCTTGGTCATTTATGGTTTTCAAATAACTCATGTGAAGTAATGGAACATACCCTGGCAAAAAAAACCCCACTATTTTACAAAAGGTTAAAAATGTTAAGTGACAGAATGGCCATGAAGTTATTTTTTTGTGCTCAATCCACATTTAATTGCTGTAGTTACCTCTGTTAAAGTGGAATGGCAAGTGAATGTGGAGGGTTGGGAAGGTACTGTTCTTGAGTGTGAAGGGAAAACACAGGCTCCTCCTCACACTAAAGTGCATCTGAAATATCTTTCTGCAGACAAAGGTTTGTAAACCATACATAAGAGAAGCGGGTACAGCTGCTATTTATTTTACACGACATATGTATAGCCCACTAGTAAATCTTACTTGTTGACCATTAGTGGTTTGAGTAATGGCTTCATTTCTGTTAAAGAGGAGAGAACTGTTAAATGATGTGAAAGATTGGAATCCAACCTTGTCACTAATTGAAGACAGATTTAATACAGATCTGATTTTTAAGTGGTTTGAAATTTCTGCAAATACTTGAGTGAAGCTATTTCCTTCTTAAATAATTTGGAGATTTTGAGTATAAAGCAGCTTTGCAAAGATACTTGAAAATTTTAGTCTTTTTTTTTTTTTTTTTTTTTTTTTCCCCCTTGACTTTGGTGTTGTAACACTGTGCTCTAACCAACTGACCTAACCAGGGCCGGCCCTCGTCCATTTCTTTTGAGTGCTGTGTCATGCCTAAACTTAAGCTTAGCTAGTATAACTATGGGTGTTGTAACACTGTGCTCTAACCAACTGACCTAACCAGCCAGCCTACTCGTCCATTTCTTTTGAGTGCTGTGTCATGCCTAAACTTAAGCTTAGCTAGTATAACTATGCTCCAGCTTATAGTGATAATTGCAGAAAGAGCCCATATCACCAACCACTTTCAGGATAATATATCTCCTGACTTCACATTTTTATCCTTGCCTTTTTAAAATTATTATAAGGGTTATTTTTATTGGCATCTTAGGTCTTTGACCACTGAGCTTCTGCTGGTTAAATAGCAGAAAACTTTCTGAAACAGTATGAAAACTGGAAACAAGAAATGAGGAACTTGAGGATAGAGTTAGCTTGTGAAACTTTTTTTAATCTACCCTCTTAAATTTTTTTCACCTTTTTAAAAATTTTAATTTATCAATATACAGTATAGTTGATTTTCATGTCCCTTTATCAATTCCTGCTTTTCCTTCCTCCCTTTCCCTCCTCCCCCCCATCAACATCATATCTGTTCACATGTCTTAACAAAATCAAGGAATTGTGATTGTTGTCTTCATTCCCCACCCCCCCACCCCTTCATTTGTTTATTTACTTATTTATTTTTATTAGCTCCCACAAATAAGTGAGAAAATGCAATATTTCTCTTCTGTGCCAGCTTATTTCACTTAATATAATTTTCTCTAAGTCCATCCATGTTGCTGAGAACTGTAGTATTTCTTTTTTTTTTTTTTTTGTAGCCGAGTAGTATTCCAGTGTAGATATACCACATTGTCCTTATCCACTCATCTGATGATGGGCATTTAGGCTGGTTCCAACTCTTGGCTATTGTAAATAGTGCTGCAGTAAACATGGGCGTACAGGTATCCCTTCGACATTTTCATTCCTCTGGGTATATACCCAGAAGTAGAATAGCTGGGTCATGTGGTAGATCTATCTGTAGTTGTTTGAGGAACCTCCATACTATTTTCTATAAAGGCTGCACCATTTTGCAGTCCCAGCTTGTGAAACTTTTAAAAGGTGAAGTGTAAGTGAATTTATTTTTATACCAATAACTACATTGGCCAACTGAAGGATCTGTCATCAAGGCTTGGAGCTACATCAATGAATGTTAATATTTTAAATTATGAAGGATTTTTTTTTTTTTCATTTTGAGGATGTTTACACTGATGGCAGCCAACAAATAAATGAGTGCTTATTTGAGCAAGACATTGCTAGAATTGCAGATTCTGGAAAAAATCTTAGGTTACATATAAAATATGTTCTGCAGTTCCCAATTCTTGGCACATTAAGTATCTTTATGCCAGCTGACACATTCTGTTGTATTCCTGGGTTTTGGGGGTCTTCAATTAAAAAGCCTCCCCACCCTGTTCTTTTCCTTTTGATCCATAAATGCAGGCATGGAATGTGTTTTTGAGTTGAAAGTTAGGGGTTCTTGCTATGGTTATATTGGTTTGCAAAGAGAAAGCAATGCTAAGTACTACTGGGATATACTGTATGCTTAGCTGTACTTTCTGGGAGAGTTGTATTGCCTGGAATTATGCTTCAGTTTACCCTAGGAATAGCTTCCAAGTTTAAGATGTTATCATATTTTTCAGAATATTCTTTTTTGGGGGTGGGGGAGGTGCTGGCCAGTGCAGGGATCCAAAACTTTTTCAGAATATTCTTAATGGTTAATTTACTCAGCTTAAAGGGGTGTGCTATCTTTAGTAAAAGGAAATAATGTAAGACTTGGAACTGTGTGTTTGTAGAACCACAGTCATTTTCATTCTAGTGTGCAGTGAAATTCACGATTGCAGGAACCTTGGTAGTTTGCTCTTGAACAATTGTTTCTGACTATAATTGGAATTTGTCCTTTGGTTTTAAAAGGTTCCATTTACATTGAGTCCTCAGCTTCTTTGTAAAATTATTATTATTATTATTTTTAAAAAGATGACCGGTAAGGGGATCTTAACCCTTGACTTGGTGGTGTCAGCACCATGCTCAGCCAGTGAGCGAACCGGCCATCCCTATATGGGATCTGAACCCGGGGCCTTGGTCTTATCAGCACCGCACTCTCCCGAGTGAGCCACGGGCCGGCCCCCATACTGATGTGTTTTGTAAGATTGAAAATATATCTGACCTCACACATTTGTTTAGAACATTTTGTTAGCTAAAATTAAAACACTTGTTATTCAAAAGTATTAGCTGAATATTATCTCCTTCAGAAAGTGGTGAGGATGAATGATGACTAGCAGCAGAGTTCTTGAGAGCCTGTTATGTGCTATAAATGATCTTCGTTCAATGCCCCCAGACACCTTTCTTAAACAATTGAAGAGAATGAGACTCAGCATAGTGCCCAGGGAACATAGCATTAGAATGAATTTTTTTTTTTTAAAGATGACTGGTAAGGGGATCTCAACCCTTGATTTGGTGTTGTCAGCACCACGCTCACCCAGTGAGCTAATCGGCCATTCCTATATGGGATCCAAACCCGTGGCCTTGGTGTTATCAGCACCGCACTCTCCCGAGTGAACCACGGGCCGGCCCTGAAATTTGTACCTGGGTCTTCTGACACAATATTTTGAAGAAATGGAGTGACTGGCTTTAAGAGGAGAAGTTATGCAGTTTCCTCGTGTGCTTTTTTCTGTTGGGCTTTGGTCCAGAGAGGTGACCTCTCTGTACTTGTTTAAAATGTGACTAACGATGTGGTATAGTGGACCGAACGGGGGTCTAGGAGTTACTGAGATCAGTGCTGTCCAATAGAAAAATAATGTGAGCCACATATATGTAATTTAAAATTTTCTAATAACACCAAGGTGTCAGAGGGATTGGATCCCCTTACTGGCCAGCTGCCAAAAAT